CGCCCATCGCAGGGCTCCGGCGAGCGTGGAAGTGCCGCCGGGGCGCAGCGAATTGCCGTTCAAAGCGCCGTGAATTCGCGAGCGCCACTTGACGACCTATCCGCGGAGGGTGCACATGAGAAATCTTGCCCATCCACGCTCGCATTGAGCCCGAGCACTTGCAGCTGCAATCCCCAGCCCATCTTGGCCGGCGCAATGGCCTCGCGCCCGAGCATGCAACGCACCAGACGCGCTGCGCAGCGCAGTGCGCGCACCGCCGATCCTCTCCGCTCTGCAGCGAAGAGGTCGTCGACAAACCTCAGCAGGGGCACGCGCAGCACCACGCGAGCGACACGCGAGATTAAAGCTCCCACTCGCACCCATGCGTGAACGGAAGCGATTGCCCCGAACGGCGCGGCGCAATGCCGCGCTGCGTGCGCCGCACCCTGAAACAAGAAGACAATGCAGAGCAGCGCGCTGTGAAGAGGCGACGCCGGGACGCGCCTGAAGGCGGGGCCCGCGTCAGCCTCGAAGGAGGCGATGGGCCCTTCGGTCTCCAGCGCCAAGCGCCTGGAAGCTTCGAAGAGCAGGCCCACGCCCTCGAGGCGCATTTTCTCGGTCACAGAAATGCGACAAGTCATCAGTCGGCCGGACTCTGACGCTGCCGTCGGGCTTCGCCTGCTCGACCGAATCGCGGTGAGAGAATTACAATGCTTAAATCGAGGTCGCCGACTTTGGACAGCTCGCGCACGCGCCCCGCTGCGACGCCCTGAGCGGCGACGCGAAGCAATTCGCTCGCGTGCCTGTCTTCACGCAAAGAAACTAACATTGCCGCGTTGGCCTTCGCTGCCGATCTCAAGAGATCGACGACCGGCGCAGCTTTGTCGCGCGCCGCCGGCGCGCTTGAGCCAGAGGGAGGCAGCGGCCCCGCTACGGGCGCGACCCATCGGGAAAATTCGATGCACGCCAGATCCGCGAACCCCGCTCTGTGCGCGAGCCTCTCCAGCAGCGGTCCGTTCGCGCTTTTTGCCGCGCTGCGCACCTCTGGGCCGGCCGAGGGCATCCAACGCGCAGCCGCGCCGCTGGATGCCAAATCTTCGGCCTCAAACTCTATTTGGCGCGCGATGGCCTCGCGATCTGCGTTGACCTGTTCAGCCGTCCGCGCGGTGACCCAGCTCAAAGCCTCAGACACCTCACTTGGCAAACTGCATTCCTTCTGAAAAGCAACAGACTCGCCGACCGCCCTTGCGGCGAAATCCAACATTTGATTGTTCGCTGCGGATTGATTCGGCACCTGCACGCGACGCGCACGCGCGGCGTCGCTTCTCGCTGCGCGGAACGCCCCGGCCTGGCTGAGGCGATTTGCCAGATTGCCCGCGCGGCTGCGCTTGGCCCCAGCCGCCCATGCGCGGGGCGGCGACGGCGGCCGCGGGGCCCCTTCCCTTTGTCGGGCCCCTGGCGGCCGCGGGGGAACGGGCAGCTGCCGCGTCGTGCGATGATTGCAGAAATAAAGCCAGGCGATGCAAGTGTTGCGCGCGCCCTTGCGCCACCGCCCGCGGGCGCGCCGGCCCCCGCTTCGCCGCGGCGCTGAAACGCGCGTCGGACGACTGTAATACATACGCGAAATTGAGAGAGGGCGCGGCAGAGGCCATTGCGAGAGCGCACATGGGCGCCGCGCCACTCGCGGGCAGCACAGCCCACAGCCTCAGGGCCACTCGCTGCGCGCCTTCTTGGCGGGCCTGGGCGGCGCGCGCGGCTTGCGGTCACCTGGGTCCCCGGCGGGCCCGGGCGGCGTGCGCGGCCTGCGGTCGCCAGAGGACCGCGGGGAGCGGCCGCTCGACCACGTGCTGCGGTCTTGCCAGTCACCGCGCGAGCACGAGCCGCGGCGGTCCTACTGCGTACCTCCGCCTTTGCCGCTGCCGCTGTAACCTCTTGCCCCGCCTTTGATGCCGCCCCCTGAGCCCGCGTCGGGCGTCTCATCGCGGCCGCGCCCGTCCTCGGCCTGCGCGGCGCAAGGGCATCGCGAACAACCCGCGCGCAGCGCGCCCGGCCGTGCCCTTCCTGGCGCAAGACCCACGAACTGAATTTCACCGCCGCGTTGAAATCACGCTCGCCGGCCCTCGTCCGTTCAGCCCACGTGGGCCGCGCGAAGTCGCAGATCAAAAGCGGTTGCGCATCCCTGGCGCACGCTGCGCGCTGGGCCTGGACGTAGTAAACTGACAGGTGGGCGCGGCGCTTGTGCGCGTGGGCATTCATGGCCACGCGCAAGCAAATCTCGCGATGCGCCCGCGACGCCGTCAGGCTGAGCTGGCCAGTCGCGGCCGCCGCCAGCGCGCGCCCGTGCGAAACGCAGACGTAACCCGGCGGCGGCGCTGCTTCACGCGACCGCGGCGCCTGTTCCATGCTGCCTGCCACTGCGACAGCTTCACCTTCATCTTGCGCTTTCCCTCTTGGCCGTCGGCCTTGATGGCGTTGGCCAGATCGAGAGGGTCCCGCAGCAAAAGCAACGCGTTGCGCGGGTTCGATCGCGAGACCAGCGCGCCTTGGAGAGGTCGTTATCTTTGTCCTCTTCCTGGGGGACTTCCTCAGGAGCCGCGTATTCAGGAAACCACTTCTTCAAATCGACCAACACAACCGGCGAGGCAACGCCGACCTTTTTGAGCTTGGCCGCCTCTGCGGCCGCTTCGTCCACGCGGTGCGAACTGCGCGCGGGGCGACGCCGAAACTGCGCCGCGCGCGAACATGCGCGAGCGCCCGGGCCAACAGTCCGCGGGCAATCCATTCGTGCTGATGTCAGACAGCGCGCTGGCAAACTCGAGGTGCGGCACCGAGATCGCCGCGCGCGCAAACCCCGGCGGGCGCGGTACCTCGTCGGGCCTCTTTCCCGAGAGCGACGCTTTAAGCGCCGCCCCTGGGTCAGCGACCCCTTGCTTCGCCGCGCCTGCCTCAGCGGCAGCGGCGAGAGCCCTGCGCGCGTGGGTCTCTTGGCCAGCGTCAAGGCCTGTCTCTCCCGCAGGGAACGCGAAATCCTCGATGCGGGCATCGGCGAGCTCCCGCCAGTTCCGCACGCCAGCTGCATACAGCGGCTCAGCACTCTTGGTGTTCCAGGCGGGATCACGACCATCGGCGCCCTCAACCTTGCGGAGCGCTTCGGCCAACGCGGTCTTCGCGACCTCGTCCGCCATTGCAACGATAAAATCAAGCGATGCGATATTCGCGCGCGCCCTGGCGCCGTCACCCGCGGACGCACCGACCCCCCGCTTCGCAGTGACGCGCAAAAGCCAGCCGGGCGGGGCAAGCCGCACATGGGCTGCTTGGTACAAGGGTGGCCGCACGTGGGCCACCGAGCCAAGACCCCCGGGTCTGCTGGCGATGGCAAGCCACACATGGCTGCTTTGTTAACTCTGACCACTCATGGGCCGCCGAGCAAAGACCCCCGGGTCTGCTGGCACAGGCAAGCCACACATGGGCTGCTTTGTTAACGATTGGCCACTCATGGGCCGCCGAGCAAGGACCCCCAGGTCTGCTGGCAATGGCGAGCCACACATGGGCTGCTTTGTGGCCTGACAAAACGCGCCACGCGGCCTCGCATGGGCAGCGTGCACGCCACGGGCCTCGCGGGGCCCCCTCCCCAGAGAGGCAAACCCACAGCGCGCGCAATCGCGCGCGCGGACGGGCCCCTCGAGGCCGCCCCAACGCCACCCGCATCACGGTGCGGTGGCCCAGCGCAGCGGGACAAGTGCCCGCCAGCTTCGCAACATCGGCCAACAGGCCAGCGGCCGCACATGGGCGGACCGCGGACGAGAGAATGCAGGAGCGCAGAAGCGGCAGCCGCACAGGCAGATCAGCACCAGCACCCTCCCTACCCACGGCCCTGCACCCCGACCGCCCCCCCGCCCCGAGGACGAGGAAAAGGCAGGGGAGCAGGGCAGACGCAGGAGCTGCATTCGAGCAAGCCCACAAACGCAGCGACAGTGCGAGCACTGTCCCCGAATGTGTGGGCTCATAAAACGGATATACCATCCTTTCTTCCTCGCGTCTCCTTCCTCCCACCACTGCAACAGAAAGGGGGGGAACAAAACAGTAATACACTGGAACATAAACTGTTTTGCGCCGTCCTCGAGGAGGCCGCGAATTCGCTCGTAAAGTGATGTATATTTCGCAGTCTTGGGGGCGTGTAGCTTTCAATTCAAGGGCATCGTGGAGGGCGCGAGGAAGGTTGCAGTACTGCGCGCGGTACAGTGCGAGTGGACAACGACGCGTTCTCTGGAGAGTTCTCTTTGAAACAAACGCCGGCATTGAACTACTCACAACGTTTGAGACTTCTCTTGGCAGTCTAGGAGGTTAGTATGACAATCGATGGGTTTGGATGGTCCGAAACGACCATCGAGTTTGATGCCCTACACCCTGGCGTCGAAGTTGGGGTGGTCACCACCCTCGGGGTGGTCTCCGAACAGTCATCAACACGTTCCTGGGCAGGCGAAGGGCTCACAAAACAGCCATGACATTTGATGGCCGCCAGGGGGGTTGTCAACTTCGAGAGCCGATTCTAAGACTGCACGTTCATGGGCAAACCCATTGGCACCGATCGATACCGCACACATCAGCATCGAGACAACTAGGACACGGAGGAGAAGGAGGAGGAGGGTTGGTGGAGACACGGACGAGGAAGGAGGAGGAGGCAGGGGGAGGAGGAGGAGAAGGAGGAGGAGGAGGGCGGAGGTTGCAGTGGGAAAGAAGCAAGAGCAAGGAAGAAAGAGAGAAGAGGGAGGAGGCAGTTCAAAGGAAAGGCTTTGTCGGCAGCAGCGGCGGCGCCCCTCGTCTCGGCCGTGCAGTGCTGGGCGTCCGTCTCTCTCTCTCTCTCTCTCTCCCTTCTTCCTCCTTCTCCTCCCTCCTCCTCCTTACCTCCTCCTCCTCCTCCTCCTCCTCCTCCTCCTCCTCCTCCTCCCCCTCCTTATCCTCCTCTTCCTCCTCCCTTCCCCTCTGGGCGCGGCAGCGGAGCGGCCTGCGCCTCGAAGCCATCACTGCGCCAGCTTGCGCTGGACCTCGGCCCGCAGCGCTGGCGGGATCGCCTCCACGGCCACTGACCTGGCCTGCATCGCGTCGATGTTGCGCTGGAGTGCATCCACCGATTGAGGCCCTTTCGACGACACCGACTGCGCCAGCGAAGCCACTGACACCGTCAAGTTTGCTTTGGCCACTGTCTGCTGCCACTCGTCTCGGGCCTCTTTGAAGCCCAACTCTGGAACGTTGAAGTCGCCAGCGATCTTCGTGAAGTCGGCCTGCTTCTCGCGAAGCTCACGCTCGAGAGACTTGATCTTGTTGATGATGCCGATCTGGCGAAAGATCGTGGTCCGCATGTGGGCGTAGATCTCGTCGAAACTCGACTGGTCACCAACGAAGCTATCGAGCCAACCGCTACCGTCGCTCATGCCACCAGCGATGGTCGCAAGCTTCTTGCTGACCTCGCTCGCCGCCCTGACTGCTTCTCCCACGCGTGACTGGGAGTGCGTGTTCATGGCATTCACGGCGGCGGCTTCCAAGGGTCCACGATCGCTGAGAAAGCTTTGAAGTCCTCGAAGCCATACTGCGCGAGGGCATCGTCGCAGTCGTCGGAGGCCGTCGCAGGAAGCACTTTCATCATCGATGAAAGCTCATCGAATGCGTCTTTGATCATCTGGTAGTCTGCATCCTGGCCCGTTGTTGTACACAAGAACTTCGCGAACAGCTGTGCCATCTGGAGGTTCGACCTCACATCCTAGCCCCTCATGTTGGTGGCAACCCTGAGGCTGGACCCGTCGCCGTCGTGCTTGATCGTCTTCATCAGAAGGTCTCCGATGCTCTCCAGCAGCATGCCCCTGCGGACCAACGTGCTGAACTCAGGTCCCTTCGCCAGCTCGTCGACGTCGGTCGTCCTCAGCAGCTCGATCTTCTGGTGGAGCAGGGCTACAGTCCTCGCGATGACGGTGATCTCAATCCCCCCGCTGATGGCAACTTTCATGTTGCGCTGGAGGGTGCTGTGCAGAGCGTCCGCGTTATTCTCGATGGGATCGCTTAGGTACTTGCGAGCCGCCTCCAGGATCTCAGCCTCGCCCCTGCAGGTCTCGGCAGCGTTGCGCTTGTCCAGCAAGCGAGCGTACATACCCGCCAGTCTACCACCATCCTCGACCAGCGCGAACTCCGCAGCCACAGAGAAGTGGTGCATGATCTCCTCGAGCTTGCCCAAGACGTCCAAGTTGACGAGGGCCTCGGAACTGTCGAGGATCGTAGTTGCCAGCCTCTTGATGGTGTCTTCGACTGCCTGCTCCGCCTTCAGCGTCGACGATGCCTTGCCACGGCACGTCTTCCTCCAATGGCCGATGGACGAGATTGCAGATGTAAGAGCATCGAGGCCCTCTTGATCGAGGTCTGCGGCTTTCAACTTCATGATCAACGCGTTCATCTTCGGAGCAGCTTGGAGGTCAGTCGACGCAGCCCGTCGAAACGAAGACTTCCATTCGGCCCAAGGTCTGTGCTTCCCGAAGGCTTCAGAGAGAGGCGTCCAATCTGTATCCGAGAACCCCCCTGTCAGCAAATTTGCCAGCAACGGCATATGTGGAGCGCAGTCCGAGAACGTCTCGGGGTCGCCGTTGCCCAAGTGGGTCAGCAAGAGCCCCGCCCCCGCAACCTTCTCGTAGTAGTCCTTGACGCTGGCGCTCCACTCTGGCATGGTAGCTCTGAACTGGTCGGTCAACCTGATGCCAAGCGCCTGCATGTGATCGACCAAGGCAGGCTTCTCCAAGCCAGGAAGCACCACGATGTCCATGCGGATCTCCCGAGACACCGCCACCCTGGAGTCGATGGACCCCGTCATGCTAGAGAGCTTGGGCTCGTACATGCTGAAGGCGTCGGCGCAAGCTGTGACAGGCGCGATCGCATCCGTGATCTGATCGATCGTAGGCTCGGCCAGCTGCAAGTACTTCCTGAGCAGGTCCTGTGAAAAGTTGGAGGCGCTCTCGACCTCCTCATTTGAGAGAACCTTGAGGTGCGCACCGATCTGATCCCAACTCATCTCGCTCAGGTTGTTCGCTAGCAGCGTCGCTGTCTCAGCCTTCTTGTACAATGTCTCAACCATGATTGCCATGCTGGGCGACTGAGGCTTGAACCTCTTCAAGGAGTACACGCGATCGCCTTTCAGGGCTCCGTCGAGGATGTCAGAGATGACGACGTCCTGCTTCAGCTGCTCCCACCGAATCTCGTCGTTGGCCAGGGCGCCCTGCGCGGCCTTCGGAACAACCTTGCGCCCAGAGCTCACGTGCGTCGCGTGGCTTGGCGCTGGCGACCTCGATCGGTCGCGAACTGGGGCAGGTGATCCAGGCCCGCCTGCTGGCGAATCCAAGGCAGCCAAGTTACCTGACGAAAGCCTCACGATCCGCGACGACGTAGGAGTAGCAGCCTTGGCCTGCGTCGCAGAGCTGGCGCCCGATTCTCGGCGAGCGGCAGAGCCCCTAGCGGTCGCAAACGCTGCCGCGGCCTTGGAGCCAGCGGGTCTCGGCAAGGCCGCGCCTTGCGAATCGCCCTCGCCATCGCCTGCATCGCCCTCAAGCTCGTCGACGTCCGCGTCCTCGATGGCCAGGAGATCCGAAGCAGCGCGCGATGCACCAGAGGCCTTTGGCGCCACCAGGAGCCCACGGCTGGTAGCCTCCGAGGCTGCAATGTCCTGCAACTGGGCGAGCGTCGGCACTTTGGCATTCCCTCTGAGTATCGTCGCCTGTTTCTGTCTGATCTTAGTGATCTCCTGCTTGAACGTCGGTTGCTCTCCTCCTGAGGCTGCCGCTTTCGAGGCCGTGATCTTGACCGTGCTCATGCGAACTTCTGTCCTGGTGTAGTTCTTGATCTTCGTGTAGGGCCTACTCGGGTGCTGGCAGACGACGCCAGTCGAGCTCACGCCTGGTTGAATGGAAGAGGCAACCCGAGTCTCCTCCACCTTGCACATCCCAGGCGATATGCCAGCCACACCCTTCGGGCAGACCTTCTCCGTCCACTGGTCCTTGGATAACTGTATCGACGTCTTGCTGATCTCCTGGCCGTAGATCACATCAACTTCGACGCTGCCGTGCTCCACAAGAGCATCTTCAATACTGGCGGCAAGCTCGGAGTCGGCCTGCCACTTACTCTCGCAGTCCTTGTTGAAGTCCCCGTCCTCATGGCACCTCTCGACAAAGTCTTGCCAGGCCATGTCCTGCTGGAAGTGGCGAATGAACCCCGTGTAGCACTGGTCGCAGCCGTGCATCGGCAGACCACTGCGTCCGCTGGCCTTGCCTCGAAAGCCAGACTGTCGATCCACGGGCTCCGAGCAGCGGGCGCAGGCCACGGGGTCGGCGCCACTGCCCGAAGCCTTGCCGCGGCGAGGGAGCGCAACCTTGCAAGCTGGAGCGCCCTCAGCGTCTGCTGATCCCTGACGCTTCCTGGCGCCCATCGCAGCTAATCTCCGAGCTGCCGGGTCGGATTTGAGTCCGGAACTCGTTCGGGCCCTCGCGGGCCGAAAAGAGACGACGCTGCCGTCGCTATGCCGAAAACACCGCGCCAAAACGGCTCCAAGACGGAGGATGGTGGAGGTTGGAGGGATTTTACCAGGGAGGATCCTCACTGATGGTGGATTTTACTAGGGTGGAGGTTGAATTGACTTACCAGGGTGGAGGGTGGAGGGCCCATGTCCTACCTCAGTCTCAGGCTCCAAGCTGGAACCCCGAGGGAAGGTCACAAGGGGGACCCCAAGGGAGGCTGCCTTGAGGGGCAGGGGTCCCGATGAGAGCCCAGGGCGCCACGATGAGGCCAAAAAGTGAATCCCAAAGGAGGGCCCCATCACTACGCCTACTCCTAACGTCCTACTGGTTTGCTACTCTATCGCGTTGCACCTCGTGCACCTATCAGACCTACAGTGCCCTAACTTATGACCCGTGTCCTGCGGCTTGCTTGGCGTATGTCATTTGGCCTGTCCTACCCTTACCTGGCGTACCCTACCTGAGCCATGACGGCATCAGCTGCCTCTCTACTTGAGCCTGCTCTGAGCTGAGACCCTACAACCCAGGCGCCTCCGCATATTAGCTTAGTATCCTACTTCCCTGTTGGGCTCCAAGGGTGAAGCCCTAAGGGTTGGCCCCAATGAGCTCCAGGGGAGGCGCCTTGAAGGGCAGAGTCCGATGCATGAGTCAAAGGGGCCAAAGGAAGGGAGCCCAAAGTGAGGTCCAAGGAGGGCGCGCCAAGACACCCCGAACGCACCTGCCTACCTACTCAACCTACCTACCTACTCAACCTACTCAACCCCCTGGGGCGCGGGCGCAGATGGGGGCACGAGGAGCAGGACGAGTAGCAGTAGGAGGTGCGGGGGGAACAGGGGTAGGAGTAAGAGGAGGAGGGGGAGGAGGAGGGGCCATTTCAGATAATTGTTTTAGGATGCATTGAATACCCCCTCCCTCGCGGGGCATACCATCGACGGGCGGATGGGGGTAGGAGTAAGAGGAGGGGGAACATTGGAAGCAATGAGAATAGACAGAGGAGGAGGAGCTGCAGCAGTGGAGGAGGAGGTGCGGGGTGCAAGAGGGGCAGGTGTAGTAGGAGCAAGGATACCCAGAGTGCTCACGCGGCCTCAAGAACGCACGACTAATGCAACGCGTACAGCGAGCAACGGCAATGACTCGCTGAAGCGAACGGCGACCAACGTTGTCTGCAAATGTCTGTAGGCCAAGCGTGTGCACGTGAGCAGCCATCAACGAATTGCGTAGCATCGCATAACACAGCATCGCACTCAACTGTGGCCTGCTCGCGTAAAGCACGCTAGGCAGTGCTATGGCGGGCGGCCAGGGGATATAGCGAAGCCGCCTTCGTTTATTATCAGGCCAATGTTGTTTCGCTCCTGCTCCTCATCCTGCTTATCCTCATCTTCCTCCGCCCTTCCGCCATCCTTCTCCAGTCCCTCCTAGTGACCCCCGCGTCCTCCTCATCGCACTCCGCGGCCCTATTCCTCCTGGTCCTACTCCTTCTCCAGTGGACAGAGACTGTGATTCAGCAAACCGAGCACTACAATCGGATACAACAAGACAAGAGCGCACATCGAATTTGCCATCAACGGGTAAATGCCTACACCGATAGAAGAATATTGACCAAATGACGACTGCGTTCAATCGGAGCCCGCACGCATTGAAAAGAACACCCTCGATGGCACCTGTTATAATGCAAAGAACGAGCGTACGCGACGCCCGAGAGCCAAACCATTATGAAACGAACATGCGCCCTCCATCGCGGTCCAAGCCGACACGTGTCATACTACCATTGTTTGTTGTGCGTAGACGCGCGTGGACCGTTCAGCACATGCGCGGGCGTGGCTCCAAATAAAGGTGCCCGCCATCCAGGCGGCATTACATCTCAAGAGGAAAGACACGCACCTCAATCACGAAACAAGAAGCAACTGATCAATCAAGTGCAGCAACAACTTCTGATAATTCAAAGTGTCACAGCCACAGCAACGCACATCGGTCACCGCCGCGCCTCAAGAAAAGATACATGGGAATGCGGGGCGGCGCTTCACGGATGACCCCGAAACGTACCAACCGTGAGCAATCATCGTTGCACGTGATTGCGCACGCATGGCTCTATTCAAACGCGTTTACCAAACACAGTGCATGCCTTGGCTGTTGCCGACGTGGCGTGGATGCAAATGGGCGCCAAACGTTGAATGGGGAACAGCAAGGATGCAACGGGTTGCGGCAGCCCAGAAACGGCCAGAAAGTGGAATGTCACAGCGAAAATGCCCAACAATGGAAGAATCACCATCAAATAAGATCGGCAGCCCATGAGGGGCACGCGGCGCGTGAGACCCTGCCAACGCAAACGCGCGTCGAATCGAGGAAGTCAGCTTGGAATGGCACGCAGACGGTTTGTGGATGCAAGCGGGGCCAATGGATGCATGCCCGCCACGTGGTTCGACGCGCCGAGAACATCCCCCAAATGGCAGCTGTGCGGCCATCCCGTGGACCGACACGGGGTCCTGATGACGGGGCGGCAGACAACGCAATCTATGTGGCCGTTTGCTATGCAACCAGCACGCGCTTCGCGCTTTACGTGTCAGACGCGCCACCACCACCCCACCACCACTATTCCCCGTCCGCGACCATGGTGCACAGAACCGCGCGTGGACTTACATACTTACACAATGCTACCAATCGCGCTGCGATGGGCACCGCCATATTCATCCCAGCCGCGCATTATGGGCGGCAGCAAGCGCGCCCAACCGATGGCTCCCAGGGGTACCGAAGATTTGTACTAACTGCACGCGCCTGATGGGAAACGCTGGTTAAACCAATCGCGCGCAGCGGCGCGCGAACCCCTGCATTGAACGGGCGGCCGCCAAGGTGCGGCGCCGCCGCGCACGCAACCAGAACGCGCGCGCATGGCGACGCGCGGCGCCCTCCCATGGATCGCGGCGACATGCGACACGTCCAGGGTTGCCCTCAACCGCGATCGCGACAACTCCAGACGGCAGTTGCGGCGGCGCTGGCTTCAATCCATGAGCAGATGCGTGGAGGGCCCGAGCTGCGCTCGGCGATGGCCCACTGCTTGCGTGGAGCAGCGGTCGCGCCTGGGCGCCAGAGTGGCGCGATGCGCGCGCGCGGCCGATGCCGCGCGAGCGCATGGGGCCCGCGGGGCCCACTGCGCGCGGCCGACACCCCCGCGAGCAATTGGTGGGCCGTTTTGAATGCGCAACCCTGGCTGCGATGTCGCGCAGCGGAATCAACCGCGCGCGCGCGGTTGCGCCGTCGAACGCCGCCGATCGGTTGCGAGCGCGTCGGGCGCGCGCGCCCGAATGCGCCAGGGGCCTAACGAACCCTTGCGGGCACGATGCCGCTCGCGCCGAGCCGACGGCGCGCCCGCGCGCCCGACAGATGGAACGCGATGTCATGTGGGTTTGGCGCAGGGGAGGCCCACGCGCATGGGCGCCGCGCGCAGCCGAACCCGCCGCGCGAGATGCGCGAACCGACGCCATAGGCGACAGGCCGCGCGATTGCCGAGGCGCGCTGCCGCGCGCAGCGCCCCCCCCCTCGGCAGTCCTCGGTGCTGCTTGCGCCGACGTGGTCTCACTCCGCCGCTCTGCGCAGCCAGGCTGGCTCTGCGCTTGGCCCGCGCCCGAAGGGGGCGCGGTCCGATAGCTGTCCGCGCGCGCCGAGAGGGCGCCGCCCTGTTCCGATATCCGACGAATCGAGCGCCCGCGCCGCGCCGATGCACCGAACGCGCGCGGAGGCGGTGCGCATGATATCGCGCGGCGATTGCTTGCATGCCGCAGCGGAGCGCTCCCGAGGCGCGCGCGCCCCCCCGACGTGCGCGCGCAGCGCGCATTTTTTTCCGCGCGTCCACTTAGGTGCCGCCGTCGGCAGCGACCGCGCTCTGAACCCGTCGGGCGCGCGAGCGACAGCCCGCTACGCGCCGAACTTTGCGACCTCTCTGCTCGAACCCCCCCCGCCACGGAACTTTTGGGGGCGCCCCTGTAGATTGCGAAAATTCAGGACTCCCGACCCCATCGTTCGGGGTTGATTGCGATGTTCGCAGCGTGCCACGGGCGACTTGCAAGCGTACGTCCCTAGCAAGTTCCGAGCACCCGCGCGATGATCAGGCGGGCTGGGCACGGCGCACCCGCGCCGCCGCCGCTGGGCGAAGGTGCGATGGCGGAGCTGATGAGATGACCGATGGGCAGGAGGGGGGAGGGTGGCGCGCCGCGGGCGCTGCGTCGGGGGAGCGCAGCAACGAACGCGCCACGCGGGGCGAGCTCGGCGGGGAGGCGCGGCGAGGTTCGGCTGGGAGAGGCGGCGGAGCAAGCTCCGCATGCCCCTGCAAGCCGCTTCAGGGCAGCCCAGCGCCGCTGACCGAGGTGAGAGGGCGCCGAGCTCGCGCCGCGGCGCGCGCCAGCTGCCCAAGGGATCGCCTGCGCCGAGCCCCGAAGGTGCCTCGGCTCGCCACAGGGCCACGAGGGGCGCCGCACGCAGTTCACAGACGCGCGCCACGATCCGATGGCGGTCGCGGCCAGGTGGGGGGGGGGGGTCCCGATGGCCGCGCGGGTGGGCTTTGCCCTCTGGCGTGGAGGGCCCGATGACCTTCTGATGGGCTTTGATGACCCCCCGCGTGCCGTCGAAATTCGGTGATGACCTTTCGATGACCTTTTGATGACCTTTCGATGACCTTTTGGTGACGTTTGATGACCCAGCCGCGCGCCGCTGAAATCGACGATGATGTTTGATGGGTTTTGGTGACTTTTGATGGGTTTTGATGACGTCTGATGACGTTCTCGGCGGCGGGCGGCCGATGGGTGCCTGATCGGTTTTGATGAGGTTTCGATGGGGGGTGCGATGGGGTTTTGATGGGTTTTGATGACGTCGCTCCTGGTGCTGAAAAATGACCATGACCTTTCGATGGTGGTTCGATGGCCGC